ATGGTGCTCAATAGAGCCAGCTTCTTAAACTGAAGTGTTTTCTTTGTTGTGACCTTCCTTCTCAATTTAATTCAGAAGTAGGAACAGAAAAGTAGTGGGTTTTTTCCTGTGCTCTTGCAAGTACAGATGGACCTTTTGGGTGTGTTTTGCTCAGGTGACGTGTGTGTAGCCAAACCTTCCTTCTCAATTTAATTCAGAAGTAGAAACAGAAAAGTAGTGGTTTTTTTCCTGTGCTCTTGCAAGTACAGACGGACCATTCGGGTGTGTTTTGCTCGGGTGATGTGTGTGGCTGTAAGAGTGTAGGATTCTAATGTGTCTCATAGTGTGGGGTGGCTTTAAAAAACGTGCCTTCTAGAAGATTGCCTAGGATTGGTGTATTTACTTTGGTGCTGTTGACAGGCCAGTTTTTGGAGGTCCCAGGCCTTTTACTTCCCTGGTTCAAGGAGCTGAACTGAACAATAGCAACAGAAGATTTTCACTATAGTCTGAGCAGGTGCAGGATAAATGAACGACCATTTGATGAATTGAAAGACTTTGGAGATGCCATATTGTTCTTCAGTGAGTCAGACATTCCTCCGGGTGTTGCTACAGGTTGTATTTCATGTGTAAGAGCTGCAATGGAAGGAAGGTGTTATGATTGTGAGGGTGGAGTGTGTCAGCTCCTTTTTTGTTTTTATTTTGAGTGGCCAAATATGAAGGAGTTCGGAAAAACATGTGATGCTGAGTCTGTAATGTGAGCTTAAGAAAGCACTTCAATACTGAGCTATGGCTAGTGTGTTGTTTTATGTGAACTTGTCCTTTGTTTGAGAAAGTAGATGTGTATTGTACATTGAGTTGTGTGTTTTGTTTTACTTCCTGAAGTGCAAACCCCCACACTTTTAAGGGCAAATCACAGAGTTATCGCTGCGGAGTTCAGTGTGGTCCAGAGGGCCTGGCTGAAGGTGCTAGTGAATGCTTTGTCATGTGAATATACCCAAATTGATTTAAGAAACCCAAACTGAAACAACAACAGCTTTGAGTAATATTCTTAATCTCAGTCTATTGATTTAGCTTTTCTTTCCCTCAACTAAACATAGGAGTAAAGTAAACCAAAACAATTAGCTCAGTATAAATTGTGTGTGTTTTTATGAAGGATGGTGCCTGTGGTTGGAAGGGAAACAGCCCAGCTGATGGCTGTATAACTGGCTTTTCTGCTTTGGCAGCACCCTGAAGTGGTGTGGAACTTGCCACGAGCAAGGCAGCTTTCTGCAGAAGGGGTGTATTGGATGGGGACACGAGCAGGCAGAGTGTCTGTCGGACTGAAAGGTGATGGAGATCACAGCCCCCCACTGGCAGAAACACATCTGGGCTTGTTTAGAAATCCCTGCTCCCTTTTCATGTGAAATAAAGTCCTTTTCATTCTCCCGTCTTTCAGCAAATTGTTTTCCTACTCAGAATGGACACTGCAAAACAGGAAACATGTTTGTAGTCAACAAAATTCCTACAAATTCTGGGTTACTTTAAGTGCATAAAGTAGGTTTCTATTTATGTTGCTTGATTTCTTGCTGTTTACCTGTTTGTTTGGCCTTATTTGCATTGTATGTACATATTTAAGTGTACTTATTTAGATGACTAAACCCAGCCATTGCCTGAGATTTTTTCTTAATTTTTTTGATGAGTGGGATCACATGAGAACAGATTTACTTACAGATTCTTTTTTAGTTAGCTATGCTGTTGCAAGTATATGCTTAGTGAGAGTATACATTTACTTATTGTCTGTTCTTTAGTCCGTTCTTTCAGTGGGGGGAATCTGTCTTCATCCTGCCTGCCTTATATCTGCTAGGAGACAGCCATTAGAGACTTCCATGTTAACAGAGAAAATTGAACTTCAGTGAAAACTTCTGTTTTTTAAAATTACATATTCAGTGTAATTCACTGCTGGCCTTGTTGTCTTCCCTACTCGCACCTAGGAGACAAAACCAAACTACATATACTTCCCTTTTTGATACAGCAGCTACATTCAGATATGTACTCTTTTCTTTCTTGTCTGACACAACATGAGTGGAAAATAGTTTGGAAAGTATTTTTTTAATTACTGATGTTTTATTTTCAGATTTAAACCAAAAAAGATGACCAAACTGTGGTACACAGTCTTGCAACACAGTTGCTGAACTTATTATCATAAATACAACAGTTTTGATAGAAAATTTGTTATTACATACTGTACAGCTGGATAAAATATATTTATATTTAGTTGTCTAATACTGTAGTTGCTTTAACTCCATAAACCCTTACCATATAATGCGTGGTTGGGCATCTCACTCCTGTCAGTGGCCTATGAAGTTTAAAAAGTTTCAGTGTTTCCTTATTTGTGGTACAATCTTTTTGGTTTTACTCATTAGAATTTAATTTGGTTTTTAAACACTGGCCTAGAGTACAGCCACATTAATATTATTTCTGTATAAATATATTCTGTTTTCCACTTTATGGTTACCTGCCCAGTCATCAATAGGAAAGAATCTGTAAAATGTTGGAATTTTTTAATAGTTGCCTCATCTGAGTCTAAAAAGCTAAATGACTGATGTGACTTAGTCTTAGTCTGGGATGTGATTTGTAATTTGTGCTGTTCTTCCTTGTTGTGTAATTGCTTTATTTTATTTGGGGTTCTTTTTTTCTTTCTCCTTTCTTCCATGAACCTGAACAGAACTATACAGCAGTACATTATATGTGTAAAACTCTTAATAAAAAAAAGACAAAATTCTTCTAAAAAAATTTGCAGGTCATTCGGGATAAGAGTTCATAGCGTTTTCCAGCACTCGAGAACAAAGATGTATTAATAAAAAAGGCATTTTGAACTTTTTGTGGTTATAGTGCCCCCTTTTCAGCTGGATTTTACAGAATACTGATGATCTTGGCGATAGCCTAAGACCCAAATCTGTAGACTTGTTAGTTTTGCCAATAGCATCAAAATGACATAGTGTTTTGTTAGCAGGAACTAGACCTTTCCTGTCAACTTGTCCGCTTATAAAAACATGACATTGACCTGTTTGGTGAATAGGAGATTTGAATTTGGTTTGAATACTTTCCACGCTGATTTAACCTTTTTAAATCAAGTAGATTATTTTTCATCTTTGTGAATGTGTGAGTTCTGTTAAATTTATCTCTGTTGTGCAGGATCATAAACAGTGGAATCTTTTAACACAAGAGCACATCTTGTATATTGTAAGAGATAATAGTAACATTGTTCTAAGCATTGAAATGCCTTGCTTTCCAGTGGATTTCTTTTGCATTCTTGTTTTTTTGTTTTTGATTTAACAAGACGACATCTAAAAATCTGAAGTAATTCGTAATGAAGTGAACAAAACTCAGTTAAATTATATCTCCTATTGTTTATATGAAAACCAGGTTTTAATTTACAAAAACCAGCTCTGTATTTGGCATAAAGAAGTAGTATTATGGGTCTTACGGGAAATAGGGTAAGCATTTTGTTAGCTTGATACAGTACCTGGTTTCTGGTGCCTTATTGATAAAGTGGATTAGACTGTAAATATTATGATTGTAGTTGTGAAGTAACTATGTACAGAGGTTGAGAAATTGGAAGATTTTTTTTTCCCCACTGTTGGCTTTGAAAATAAGTAACACCTCTTATGCTTATTACTAAATACAAAATGCAGAAAAATGCTTTTGACAATGTATTCCTTTCTTCTTTAATAAGCTTGCATGTGAGAAGGGTCGGTTTTGTTATTCATCTGTTTTATCTTTAACCTTGAGTTGTACTTAATAGTTGGATCTACTTCTAAAACTTTTTTCATCCTTGTGTTATTTTTGATAAAACTATAGTATCACCTTTATATCAAGGTCATTCAACCCTCTAAGCTCTAGCTATTTAAGCACTAATATATTTTGTGTTGCTGCTGATTTGACTGAAAGTTTTAATGTGAAAGTTGTTGGAAATTCAGTATTTGGGTTTTTGACTTCAGTAGGAATATCATTAGAATGATTTTAATGTGAGGAACTGTTAAAAGAATGGGTGTAGAACAGGAATTCAGGGCTCCTTTGAATTATGTTTGCCTGATAAGGTAGGGTCATTTGGAAATATTCTGGGAAGAAATAGGCTGTGTTAGCTTTAACCAGCATCTAAGAAAGATTGAACTAATCCTTTAAAAGGGAAGAAATGTGGCACCAAAATGGAAAAGAATATAGGTAGAAATCTCAGGAGACTAAATTTAGGGAAGAACATTTGTGCTACAGTTGGGCAATTTAATTGACTGTAAAAATGTAGAAAGGGTATAATTTTGAACAGAAATAATATGATTCGAAAGGAGTATCTCCTATCTGTTCGAGGAAGGTTAGCAAGATTACTGAGTCTTTACAAGGCAACCTGTCTTTTTGTATGTAAAAAAAATAGACATTTATGCTACAGGTGAAAGAAGTATTAACATCAAATTTAAATCTAGGTGGTGTCTTTTAAAGCTGGTGTCAATGCTGGTGCATTTTATCTGTGGGTTTTTTCTTTTTTTTTTTTTCTTAGAATTTTATCGTTTCACAAATACTAGTTTTTGTGCTCTGACATACTGATAGATTTAGAGACAGAAGACTTTTCCTTATCAATGAAACAAGGCACAGCCAGACTACAAAGAACATTTCACCATCGTGCTAGAACGTCTCAAATCTCAGGCTTTTAATCAGGGTTAGTTCCTTGTATGCGTATACTGTCAGTACTGCTATTAGAGTTGTTAATGAGTTGATGAATTTCTTTAGAAATGTAAACAGTGTGGGTGCCCATAAGATACACGTTGAGATCACAACATTGTTGTCCCATAGTAGTTTTGATCCCTTCTGATTTGAACAGAATTGAGCTTAATCCACTGAGAGCATAAAGTCTCTTAATATTTGTTCCATTTGTTTTTCTGACTCCAAGCCAGTAAAATGATGTTAATTTAGCAGCATATTCTAATGTGTGCCTGGGTACTGTACTGTGACCCTTTTTATGTTCAGTAACAGAGTGCTATTTATTCCAGGATGATGTGATGATGCCCCAGCGGGTTAGACTGCAGCACGAAGCTGCCATTCAACACCCAAACAGTGTGAGTACTTTTTTCTTGTGTGTATTTGTGTGTTTTTCTTTTACAGAGTCCCGGATACATCTTTAAAAGGATATGAAAATTTCACAGTAGGGCTGGTGGAGGCAAAGCAATAACCAGTGTATTCTTTTCTTTTATTTTTAATCCTTGCACTGAATAGTAGCTTTGATTGAACTTCTTTTCTTCCATTTATTTTCTCTGGTCAGTAAAACAAATGTCATTATGACAGTGATACTGATTTTCAAATAAGTATACAGGTTTCACTAATGTATGTATCTAAAGGAGAATGCCTTTTTTATGCAGCCTAAGTAATGTGAAAAGCTGCAAAGGATTTGCTACAGTTATGGTTTATCTGTTTTCATTATTTAAGAAACAGTAAACTATAAGGAATGTATAGGTTGTTATCATTAATAAACTGGCCTACAGTTAAATCGATGTTTCTCCCTATGTCTGCCTGCAAAAGAAAACATTATTAGACTGCTGTTCTTTAATCTTGTGATGTAGACTCTCAAAAATGTTCTGCGAGACAGTGGTTTTATGATCTATATGATTTTTGATTTTAAATAAATTTCTGTGATTAGGGCCAGTATCCTTTAGAGAGAGTTTGTATATATGTTCTACTTGCCTGAAGATAATAAATACAAACAATTTGTTATGGCAATTATTTTATTTGTCAATGCTATTGACATATTTACTCCTTTATAAACTTGAAAACTGAGTGTGTTTTCCTGTCAGCAACATTTGGCAAAAATAGGCTTATTCTTTTCACATCTCTGACGTTTTCTCTTGTGAGATGTATTTCATTGTGCAAGAGGTTTCTGGAAAGGAAAGGTCAATTGACTTGATCTGTCAAGAAGGTATTTCCTGCAGGTCTCAGAACCAAACAGGCAGTTTTAGGATTATCACTTTCTGGGAATTAAACACCTTTTGAACTTTTCCTCTGAAACACACTTACTTCAAAGTACAGATTATTGCTGTTGTTTCAGCTGCAGAACATCTGCCAAACAACCTGCTGCTTCGTGGTGGGGTATGTACCTGCTCGTCACACCACCTGTAGTAGGTCTCTTATGAAATCTGATAATCCTTACAATGTAATTTATCAAATTATAGTTTTAGTAGTACCTGAGTAGCACTTAATCTAATTCACATTGTGAACATAACAAAATGATACATTGAAAGTTGTTTTTGTTCTGATATCAATCAGTTAATGTAATTCTATAGTAAAATGCCAAAAAACCGGAGAGGCAAGTTGATCCAGTAATCTTATTTTATGGAAACTAGTGCTAAGAGCTATCATATTTCTTGCTTATATGACTTCTATATCCATATATTAAGACTTTTTTTAAATTAGACTAATTTCAACTAAAGAGCTTGTAGTCTATTTAGAAAACACTTCAACTCTTTTGTTAACATTCTATTAGACTTTAGTGCCTAACAACATTCAGTATGAACTATTAAATGACAATCAAATAAGTAATAATGAGTGCCTGGGTGGACTGAAGGGCATTTCTTCATGATATATTCTAAGCAACACAAACTTGTTCTTCCCATGCTCTAAAGGAATCTAAACTTGTGGTCCTGTTTCAGTGTGGCCTCTTTGCAAAGCTTAACTTGAGCTTTGTGCTTCGCTAAATAAGACTAGCCAAAGTCAGTGTGATTCAGCATGAGAAATAAGGGTTTCCACCTTCCAGTTATCTGACATACTAGTACTTCTATCTTCAATTTAGGAAAAAAAAAATCTTCAATTTAGGAAAGTGTAAAAATTCTCAGAAATGGAGAGAAAGGCCTGTGATTTTAAACCTTAAGAAAATGGTAGATGTGTGTGTGTTCTTCTGACACAGAGAAACTATGTCTGGCTAGAGCCTGTCTCATGCCATTATTTTCTCTCAGCTTTCTACTGAATTGGAGGTCTTTCTTGCAGCTTTTTGGGCAGTGACCTTGCTTTTTTTTCCTGTTCTTTAAATTTCTACTGTTTTTTACTTTCTATTATTTCTTGCCTTGTGATGCCTTTTAGGTGTAAGGATATTGCTCCTTTGTTCTTGAGCCCTATGAAGGCAAAAACGAATCTGTGTTTGAATTGAATGGAACATGGTTTTCCATTTTACAGTTAGAGAAATGTTTTTAATGCCTTTATGAACTATACTTTCTGGGCTAATGTTGTATTTTACAGAACGCTAATTCAAAGGCCTGAAAGGAGAAATGGAAACATCTCTTCCTGATGAGCAAATATATCAGTTTGGTCCAGAGCTCCCCAAAAGTTCTGACACAACTTGAGTTACTCTGAGAGAAGTTGACCTTCTGGCCACAAACTACAGACCAATATCAGGGTGGACTGTCGTTCTTAAAAGAATGATCTCTCTACTCTCCTCAGGATAAGAATGCCATTCAATTTTCTGGCCTTGGAAGACAATTTGGCATGTTTGAATAAAGTTCTGTTCTGTAATTTGAAGTTCTGACCCTCGCTTCAGTCAGTATGGTGAGCCAGAGTAGGTGGAGAATAATAAAAAAACAAAAAAGCAGAAGCTAGAGAAATGCCTGTGAAGCAGTGAGCTTTTTTGGTTTGTTCCTGAAATTCTAATTTGCAGACTTGGACTTTCCATTGTTTTGCAACTTCTTCTGACCTGGATTTTTGACTTCATGTAGTCTCAGAAATTTTGTTCCTAATACTAGCTTTGCTGGTTGTTACTGGGAGCCAGAATTCCCAGTGGGCTCTAATATTGCAGGCTTCAGTTTACTGTTGTTACTACTATAGATTTTCAGGTAAGAAAGGTCTCCAACTTTCTCCACCAAGAGAAATCTTATTGCAGATCCTAACTAATCCCTGAGGTTCTTCCTCTCTCGTGTGACTCTTAAATGCAGATTGCCTTACCCTGACTTGAAGCCTGGTTGCTAAACAGTGGAACAAGAGATCAGAAGCGTTTGGAATGACTCTCCAACCAGTTGTTCTTCAGACAAACTGGTGTCTCTATTTCTGAAAAAGCAAGAGGCTTGCCCACACTTCAGGTACTGGGATATAACTGGAGTAACACTGCAGCAGCCCTTGGCTTTCTTTCCTGTATCATAGACTACTCAATTGTGCTTTAAAGGGCAAGAGCAAATTCTTCTCTACCTTCTTAAACTATTCTTATCTTGAAGACTTTTAAAAAGAGTTTTAAAAAGAGTAAGATGGAACTGTTCATCATAACATTTAGAGTGAACAACTGCTACTAAAGTTTCTCACTTCATTTTGTTTCTTTATCCCTAGAAGCAGCATCTATCTCAATAAGCCAGGTGTTGCTTATTTACCAACCACAAATCATGTATGCTTCCTTGGCAGCTAATGAGTGGGAAGATTCAAGATCACGTTTCTCTTAATTCTGAAAAAATCAGACCTTCATATCTTATTTTACTCATATTTATGGATCTCCTCCAGAAGAACACCTTTGTGTACGTACTAGTGTTCTATTGAACAAGGCTTCTGAGTTTGGAGTAGCCCAGGAAATGTGCAGTTTCAGCATTGTTTCCCAAACTACCCAAACACACCGAGTGCAGTCTTTTAGGCCCATGTCCCACATTTATCCTGTTATTTCATTTGAGCAGAGTGATACCCTTTAAGAAGTCCCAAAGCTTTTTGTTTCAAGCACAGATGAGATTGTTAACAATGCCTGCTTCCAGGTTGCCTTGTTGCAGGGTACTTGCACCAGGACCTGCTGTGGGCATGCCAGGGTGAAATCACTGGATGTGGTTTGAGTATGTTCTTGGAGAGCTCAAGTAGCGTTGGAGAGCTTCTCTGGAAAGTGTTTCATCCCTGAGACACACAGGTACCTGTGCGTACCACACTTTGCCAAGCTGCTGTGCCAGTGTGGAGGCTTTCAAGAATGGTGCAGCACTTGAAATAGTCTTCCAATTTTCCCCAAGGATTCCAGGTATTGGAAGGAGAAGAGAAGGGTGCTAAAATGAAATGTGCTACTGTTCATGCTCAAAACCCTCTGACCTTCTCATCTGTCTTAGAGCCATACTGAATGGTTTTGGACAATGCTTTGTCTGCTGGACAAAGCATTTATTCTTCCTCTCACCATTGTTTAATTTGAGTTTACGTGTGCCCCTACAATATGACTGTGTGCATGAACAGCATGTGGCTTCCAATCTTTATTTCTCTTTCTTTCCGAAGAAGTACTTAGAAAATAGCTGGGCTCTTCCTCACTGTATCCTGTGTCTTCCCAAAATGTGGGCAAAAGAAATAATGTTATTTCCTTTTGTTTTCACTAATTAAATGAGGGGAATCTGTACCAGTGTCAGAATGAACACCTTTCTTTTTGTTGTAAAATCACCAGGCTCTTTCTCAAACATTGAGAATACCTGGGCACGTGAGAGAACATTGGGTTATAACTATTTGCATTTCTTCAATAAGAAATTCTCGCTGTTTTGCATCTCTAAAGCAATTTTTTGGCGTATTCTTTAGCTTGGATTTAGATCAAGAGCCGCAATGCCTAAGGCTGTTTTAACCTATTGCATTATCTGAATGTGTTAACCAACTGACTAAATTCTGCATATCTTTGATGGTTAATGTGACTCTAAGGTAGTTGATTGGATTGAATGAACTTGAACAATGCCATGGCACTGCAGGTTCACAGACCTGTTCATCTGCCTTTGGGAAAGCTGTAAACAGACATTGTGCAATCAGCAAATGAATTGGAGAAATGAACAAATGAATGAGATGGCTGAGCTTGATCCTTTCTTTAAGTCCCAACTCTAGCCCAAAGCGTTGCATCTCCCTCCACCAACCCCAGTGAAGCTCACAACTTAAATTTAGAAAATTTAGAAATTAAATCTTTTTTTTCCTTTTGCTTTGGTCTGGACATATACATATCTTGATTTCAAAAGTTATAGTCTAATAGATGAGGTTTTGGTATAATTGCTGTACCCTGTGCCATTCCACTTGCCTAGACCTGTTACACGTTTCTGTTACATCTTAGGAAGACTGGGTTTTTTCTCCCTCCCTCATTTTCCTTACCCATTGCTTA